ACATATAAATAAAAAACATAAAATAATTTTTATTATATTTTCACTTATTCTAAAATAACATTATTTGTAATGCAATTAATACGTAAAGTTGTATGTACTTCTGTATATGATCTAAATATAGGATAGCCCATGAAACAGCAAACGGATAACTGTATTGGAGTTTCGGGGACAATATTAGAAAACAAGGTATCAGTGACGAAAATCAGCAACGAAAAAATTCCCTCACAGATTAGCGATGGATCAACGAGGGATCTGGCCAAAAGCAAATTCCCTCGTTGATCCCTCGCAGATCTGCGAGGGATCAACGAGGGAATTTGCTTTTGGTCAGATCCCTCGCTGATCCCTTTCTAATTTTTTTATTTAATAACTACAAATTTAATTAATTTTTAATTATTAGTTATTAAATTATCAGTTATTTATTATTTATTAGAATATTACAAAATTTAATTAATAAAGCCCATTAGGCCCAATAAAACCGAATAAAGTCTATTAAGGTCCATTAAACCAAACAAAGTCTAATAAAACCGAATAAAGTTCAATAAAATCGAACAAATCCTAGTAAAACCGAATAAAGTCAAATAAAACTAAATAAACCTCATTAAGGCCCGATAAACTCAATAAAGCTCGGTAAATGAATTAAGGCTCAATAAAACCAAACAAAACCCATTTGAATGAGTTAAGGCCCAATAAAACCGAATAAAGCCTTATATAACACACATATACTATCTATACATCCACATATACACATACGTTTAAGCATATATACATCATCTGATATATGTATCTTAAACAATATATACATCAATCCAATCGTGGTTAGCAACCAGCACACATCGTGTATACATATGTATATAACACGGACCGATGGGTATATATACATATAACACATACAACATCGTGTAAACATATGTATATAACACGAGCCGACGAGTATATATACTTATAACACATGCACATGCATACATACGACATCTACACATAAAAATGTGTACATATAACACATAAAAATGAGAAAATAAAAAAAATAAGATAATCCCTTGTTGATCCCTCACTGATCAGTGAGAGAGAAATGTCAATCCCTCGCTGATCTGCGAGGGATCGGTGAGGGAAGTGCCAATCCATTGTTGATCTGCGAGGGATCAGCGATAGATTTGGCCAAAACTAGTTCCCTCGCTGATTTGCAAGGGAAGTGATTTCTGGTCATTCCCTTGCAGATCAGCGAGGGAACTAGTTTTTGGCCAATTCAATCGGGAAAGGAAATCCAGGATCAATAGGACTAATCGAAACACACAGTTTGAGGGGGATGCCGTCCAGACACACTGAGGGATCAATCAGTACTGCACAACATTGAGACAAGATGGTGAGTATATGATCTTTTTTGAATATGTAATTCATTCTCTATGTTTACTAACAACTTAACCTAATTGTCTACTGTAGGCAAAACTAATGGGTCGTGATCTGACTACTACTCAGGTGTTTGAGCGCACTCACTGCACGAACCGGAAGTTTGATCAAGGTTCGTCCGACCCACCTACCGATTCTCCTCAGTTTAGTTACCCAAAAGCTGCTAAGTATCATATAAGTTTTTAAAACCATTACTTCGATTAATATACATTTGGTAGGTTTAAGATAATATATTTTAATTATTGTATTCTATAGAGAGACACCTGCCATTCCAGATGAAGGCAGACCTGCTCAAAGAGTAATAAAAGAGAAGTTCAGATATACTGCAGAAGAAAAGGAGAGAGCACATGCTGATGTGTTATGCAAGTCCTACATGATGCAAGCACTGACTAATGATATCTACACGAACATTGACAGCCATAAATCTTCTGGTCACAACATGTGGGTACAAATAGAGAAAATGATGATGGGTTCCAAGGTGGGAACTCAGTTAAAAATCACTAACTGCATTTCTGCGTATGAAGAGTTCAAGGCTAAGGAAGGAGAGAGCCTTGACGATGTTTATGACAGACTTACCAGATTGCTGAATGAGCTGACCAAGAACGGAATCTCTAAAACTGTTATAGAGATAAATGTTAAGTTCCTTAGCAACTTACAACCAGAGTGGAAACCTTATGCTAATCATATCAGATTCAACAAATCCTTATCTGATATAGACATATATGAGGTTTATGAAACTCTGAAACAGAATGAGGAAGAAGTTTTAGAGGTCCGAGATTCTAAGAAGAAAAAGGAAAAAGAAGTTGCTGATCCTTTGGCCTTTGTATCAGAAAAGAAAAGCAAAAGCAGATCTGGAAAGCAAGTGAAAGAGATCAGCCAATCAAGTGAATCGGCAAGTGAAGGAAGCGACAGCTCTGAGTTAGACTCTGAAATGACTTAATTCAAACATACCATGGCGATGCTAACAAAGGCATTCCAAA